CCCCCCCCCCCCCTCCTTTTAGTAGTAATCAAAATGTGAACCTGTTCAAAAGCTCTGCTACTGTAAATCCATTGTAAGTTGCATTTTCTCTTTTTATTCTTGAAAACTCATCAAACTAAAACTAAATGCACACTTGTTTCTGACTGCTTCGATGCTTAACCTCCAACACAGACAACAAATGCTTCCTTGTACAAGAAATGTAGATTGTCCCAGATGTAAGTACATTCCCTTTTGTTAATTAAATTCTCCACTTATTGCCTTGTAATAAAATTGAAGTTTTCTTTATTTTCTTTATCCGTTTCGCAACTTAATATTTTGGAGCATCTCACTATGACAAAATGAAAACAAAGCAAGCTTTGTTCCCAATGTATTTGGGATCATCCACATGAATCTTTTTACTATAATTTGTTCAGTTCATTACTAGATTTACTGGAAGATCCAAATCAACCAGATTTTTAGCAATCAGCAACAGGCTATGTCAGTTTTAGTTTGTCCCTCGATCTTCTAACCTATTTTACCAAGATAGCGTCATTTGAACAATAGTGTCTTTTGGTCTAAGCAAAATATGTCCTCACCACTTAACTCATCTTTTTGTTAATTTATCCTCATTCAATGCCACCTTCCTTGTGTACCCATGCAGTTTTTGTTTGTCTAATTCATATGTTTTTTAAGGAAGAGTTGTGAAATTGCTCATGTAACTATTTAATCTTGTTTGTCCATGCCAGACAAGTGTTGTTTACGTGTTAATTGTGGCGGGGGTAATTTGGAAATCAAAGAAAGCAATAGAAAAGTTACTTATGAAGGAGATGCTGGAGGTGATTCTGCAAGATTTTCAAGTACAAGCAGTTATTGGGGGTTTACTAGTTCTGGAGAATTCATGGACCAACCTAACAACCAAAATTCACGTTCTATCAGAACCACATCGACAACAAACCTCTCTGAGTTATACAGTACTGCACGTCTCAGTCCTCTTTCGATTACATATTACCATTACTGCCTGGAGAATGGAAGTTATAGCGTGAATCTTCACTTTGCTGAAATACTATTCACAAATGACAACACATTTAACAGTCTTGGAAAGCGGATGTTTGACATATACATCCAGGTAGTGAATATATATGCGAATTATATGCATTTCCCAAGTGAATTGTATGGCTTTATAAGACCCTCTTTCACTCTCAGGAAAAATTAGTTTTGAAAGATTTCAACATTGAATATGAGGCTAGGGGAGCTCAAAGGCCTGCGACTAAACATTTTAATGTCACAGTATCAGATAATACTTTGGAGATCCGATTTTACTGGGCTAGTAAAGGGACTACACGAATTCCTAATAGAGGAGATTATGGTTCTGTTATATCAGCTATCTCAGTCATTCCAAGTGAGTATTTGCATTCTTTTCCTTATATTTTCCTTCTTGTCCCCCCCCCCCCCCCCCCCCCCAATTTTAAAATTTCACTTATATAAATATGAAGGTAAAAATCTAAATACTTACCTTTTGCTATGCGATAATATTTTAAGTTTAGGAGTTAGAAGAACTTTGGCATGCGCTAATATTTATTGATGGTTATGTAATTTTTCATTGATTTTTACATTCTTAGGTGCACTCGGCTCATTGATTTTCTTCATCAACTTATCTCTCCAAAATCATTAATTTCGACCATCAACACTTCATTTCAAATCTATATTTAATATTTAAGGCTGTGGTCTAGATTGAGTCTTTATCTTCTGAATCCTGTTTTCTTTGTGCTGTGCTTGGGGGTGTGCATTTGTTAGTTCTTATTAGTTATTCATCTTAGCTAGTATGAATTTGGATGTCATAGAAATGACTAACCTGCTAGTATGAGATGAACTTAGTTATTGTTTAAACCTGAGTTTCTCCTTGCTTTGTGTTACATAATTAATGCCTTTTCTTATATCTTGCAGACTTCAAAATTTGTTCATATGGAGGCAAGAACAATTTAACTGTTTATGTAAGTGTTGGTGTCGTGGCCGGATGCCTTATTTTCTCGATATTTGGCTTCCTTTGGTGGAAAGGCTGTTTGAAAGGCAGAAAACGGAAAGGTGATGACTTTGATTATCTTATGAAAACAAGAATGATTATTGATTCATAAGCTGGTGAATATGATTAAATGCACAGCGCAATTCATGTTAAGGGTATCAAATATGAAATATAAAGTAAACTTCGAGATGTAACAGTTAAATATGCGTACATTATCTTTCAAGAGTTCCCACTAGATCATATGATTTGAAATGACATTCGAGGAGGCCATCTAGTTCTTTCATTGAATCAGCAATATAATTCTCTCTTAAAAGTCAATGGCCACTAAGGACGTTTTTATTGGACCACCTGTTGTGGAGGTGGAGCAAAAGGAATTAGGGAGTTCCTCGTTCACCTGTATATAATGTGAGTTTCCCTATAGCCATCTAAGACATATTGGGATTTTGAAATTGGGACTTTCTTCGTTCTTACTCTCTTAACTCTTTATAATGGACTTTTTTCTCCTCTTACGTGTATGTAGGGATGCCGAGTAAACTTCGTAAATCTTGTGTCTTCTAATTTTTTGTTCTTTGTCATGTGATATCAAATGTACCATATCTATCTGGGATGACCAAACAGAACATTGTGCAAATGAATGATCATTTTATGTCTTCCGTGAACAGATTTTGAAGGTCTAGAATTGCAAACAGTTTCTTTTACTTTGAAACAAATAAAAGTGGCTACTAACAACTTCGATCCCACAGAAAAGATTGGAGAAGGTGGTTTTGGTCCCGTATACAAGGTATTTATTGTTGAGATATCATTATTTCCTTCATTTCTGATGAATAGGTTTTCTAAAGGAGAAATGGCACAGGGTCAATTATCTGATGGGACTGTTATTGCTGTAAAGCAGCTCTCCTCTAAATCAAGGCAAGGAAATCGTGAGTTTTTGAATGAGATTGGCATGATTTCTTGTTTGCAACACCCAAACCTCGTTAAGCTCCACGGATGTTGTATTGAAGGAGACCAATTGCTACTCGTCTATGAGTACATGGAAAACAATAGTCTGGCCCATGTTTTGTTTGGTAGTTTTCTTACATGAAATATATTTTTCAATTTCTGCTTGTTGGTTTTATAGCCTTTTTTGCTAGGGTGGACGGTACATTAGTAGACAGTAATAAAGAAAGCAGTTAAAATTTTGTCGATTCTAGTGTCCAATCTGGGTAACTAATATGATGGTACTGAACATTCGAAATTGGTCGGGCTGCAAAATTCAGGTTCAGGGGGAAGCCAGTTGACGGTGGACTGGCCAACAAGGTTCAAGATTTGTCTTGGAATTGCTAGAGGATTAGCATTTCTTCATGAAGAATCAAGACTGAAAATTGTTCATAGAGATATCAAAGCATCTAATGTTCTGCTTGATGGAGATCTAAACCCTAAAATATCAGATTTTGGATTAGCTAGGCTTAATGAAGAAGAAAAGACCCATATTAGCACCCAAGTTGCCGGAACAATGTGAGTTCAACTTGGTCATTGGGTAATTCTTTACAACCTTTGTACCTTGGCATGCTCCAATTCGGTAGTTTCTCATCTTGATTGCAGAGGTTATATGGCACCGGAATATGCACTATGGGGACATCTGACCGATAAAGCAGATATTTATAGCTTCGGAGTCGTGCTTTTGGAAATTGTCAGCGGCAAGAGCAACAACAATTACATGCCAAGTAGTAATTACACTTGCCTATTGGATATGGTACTAATCCTTCGGCTCTTCACTTAATTGCACTTCCCCTGTAATTAGGGATGTCAAAAGGATCAGGCCCGGCTGGCACAGCAGCAAAAACTGCACCAAGCTCGACCACCTTTCATTTTGAAGGCTGGTCGAGACTGGCCTAATATAAATTGGCGAAATGGGCTTGGAGCAGCTTGCCAATAATAACGACAGCCTGCCCTATTTGACACCCCTACTCGTTATGTAGTCCAAAATTTGACCCTCACATTTGCATGCTGACATTCATAATTGTTGCCTATTTCCCCTTTTTTCCCTTATCGAAACCATCTAATGTCTGGAAAAAATTGCATTGTAGGCTTGTCAATTGCAAGAAACCAATAACATAGACGAACTTGTCGACAAAAGGCTGGGTTCTCAAGTGAACCCAGAGGAAGTAGAAAGGACGGTAAAAGTGGCTGTTCTCTGCGCAAATGCAACTGCATCTGTTAGGCCTCCCATGTCCGAGGTAGTCCAAATGCTTCAAGGACACATGGCCATTCCAGATGTACCCCACGAAGGCAATGATGTGAGGTTCAAAACCATAAAAGGCTTAAACCAAGAATGGCAAAATCGAAGTTCAAGTGGAAGTCGAACTCAGAAGTCTACCATTGTACAAACAGATGCAGGAGTTTCTACTCCTAGCACTGAATCTTTAAATTCAGGTTTAAATGTTACAACCACATGGAAGAACTCACCTAATTTAGTCGAGCACATCGAATAAAAAGAAAAAAACTTCATGCTCCAAAAGGTTATATAGCCTAGGAATTATAAAACTCTTGGGATGTAAATGTAATGCCTATTGAATTTTTATTCGACTTATTTATTAATACCATAAGATTATGAGTTGTAATTATTTAACGTTAGTCAAAAACAATAATTTACATCGACAAAGGATAAAGATTCTCCCCGTGAAATGGGTGGTGTTGAAAAAATTGTTTTTCAACTCTCCAATAATGTTATGTCACTTATACATTATGGATATCTTTATAGACATCATAATATACATGTAACATAACCCTTTGCTTAAAAATTTAGAATTGACTCCCATGTGACCATGTCCCGCTGGGCAACATATTAATGTTACTATTTAAAATATAATATTTATGACCGACACATTTTATTTTATTTTTTTCAATAGTCGATATCATGTATCAAAAACTCTACTATTTTGAACTTGTATGCACAAGAAAGCATCTATATTGCATTAGAAGTGCGGAATATGAAACTGAACGTTTTCGAAGTGGGGCGGACGCTTCAAACTCATATTGGCACTATATCACGCAAGCTCATGGGGATCGGAATTTTTCTTTTTATAATAACTAGTCTATGTTACGTGCGATGCACGAGTTGTGCATAAATTATGATTTGGTTAGCGTATGTATTGAATATGTTTGAAAATATATTGGAAGATGGAATTATTGGCAAGGAACTAACCAGTGAATAATTGAGATAATATTATACATATTGATGTGTTTGATTGTGATTTGTAAATTTGTAAATTCATCGTAATTAATCATGTGTTTGTATTACAGTCAATGATAGATGAGAGAGAATAAAAATTAACTTCATTACCATCATTAATTACAGAGTATAGCCAAAATAAAAAAAAAAAAATAATGACTGATTTTCGAGATGGATGATGTAGGGATTACATATACATCATTTGTCATTACTTTTTTTGTTTTGCAGTTTTTGATCAGGAAATTATACATAACAAAATAGAACTTCAAGATCAAATTTACAATGAAGACAAATTTCACAAATCGAATTAGCAAAAAATTTACAAAACCACACAACACTCTTGTCAAAATGTTGGTTTTGCGGAAAATATTTCGACTACTATTTACTCCAGTTTTTCTTTTTGAGCAAGTGGATTTGAGTCTGAACTCATGTTTTCATCACAAACCATTTTTGAGTTAGAATTCTCATTAGAAGATTTGAAAAGGGCTTATTTCACTGGAGGTGACTAATCTTCTTGATAGTCTGTACTAACGTTTTTCCCAACTGTTGTAACCTGACTGTCAACGTTTGTTTGGATTTTTGGTTCAAGACTTGCATGATCAATATTTACTTGAATTTCTTGTCCTGGACTTGGATGGTCAAAGTCTGTTACAGAGATGATATCAAATCTGTAACTTGATGAATTAGATTCATTTTGCGATGCTTACAAGTAGAAAGCTCGTTCAGTATTCTGCATTTTTTTAATGGTTGCTTCGAAATTTGTCTTTGAACCCTGTGTTAATTTTAAATTGTATTATTATTATTCTACTAAAATATGCACTGAATGGCAAAATGTTTGAGACAAGTTAGATTTCTTACAAATTTGGTTTCCTCCATCAAAGACTCTGAAATTGTAAATAATAGTTTCTCAGCTGGTTCACCAATTGCATTTGCATTGATTGATCCGGTGACATCTGAAAGCTGAACATATGCTCTAGCCCTAAAGTAAAAAAGAAATTAGTATTAATAGATACAAGAATAATAAAGAGAAGTAGAAAGGTGTAAAAAATGAAAAGTAATTAATCGTTAGTGTATTTTACCGAGGAATAGCTTTGGAATTGGGATTTTTACAAAAAATACAAAGATATGTTTCTCCAAAATCAACGTTCGACCGTCTAAAACAGTTGTTGCAGGTTATGTACCAGGATTTGCTATCAATTTTATCTGTTGTTGCTGTGCCGTTTACCCAATAAAACTTTCACTGTTATAGTATAGATATACTTAGAGAAATTACAAGGAAAAATAAATAATATGATTGAGTGTATCTTGTAATAAATATCTCTATATTAGGAAATAAATAGAGATTGAGTATCATACGTAACCTTAATATTACCATTAGAAGGCGTCCCTGAAGATTTTGAATAGGAATGAATTTACTTCGTACAGGTGGAGAAAGATTCGTGGGACTTTTGTCCATGTATGATTTTTTGAACACAAAATCATCTATTTTAATGAAATTTGTTCTTACCCTAATCAAAAGACATGAAGATAATTAGTAACTCCAATAATAATGTGCCGAAAAATAATTGAGAGGGAGAAAAAAAAAGAATAATAAAATATAGCACTTTTTACATACCATTCTGTCATTTGTTTTACAGCATTGAAAGGCACATTTATGAAAAAAGTGGAATGAACTTTCATGGACAATTTTAAACCTATATAATATCAATATGGAGAATGTGTAAATGATGTAATATATATATATATATATATATATATATATACACACACACACATAAACGTTAAGAAAAGTTTAAATAATACAATAGAACATACCAAAGAATGATGTAACCTTTAGATGGGTTGCGAAGAAGACTGACTTTTTGTCAATAATGTCTGCTATCAGTAAGCATTCTCTGTCAACAAATGAATCCCAAAGTGTAAGCACCATTGTTTTGAAATTCATGTCTAGAAGTATGATATCTTGCAACCAAGTTTGGTTGCCATCTTTGGATTGAATCAATCGTTTGGGTGTCATATCAACTGGAACTGCAAGTATATCTGCAAATTTGAAATAAGCCATCAAATTTATTTTTTTTGGACATAAGCTGTACAAATTTGAAGGAAACTCTATTTCTGCAGAATTAGTATATGATTATTTAATATCTATGAAATTTTGTCTCACTTAAATCAGCATCTGTATCCATGTATTGTTCGAGTTTATGAAGTTGTGTCAGTTGATATGTTGAGAATACAAACTCTAGATTATCTTCATTCAATTCTTCAACATGAGTTTCTCCAGATATGGTCCATTGTAGAGAGCCAGTCAAATATCTGTAGTTTGTCGTATTGTTCTTCACGTAAGTTTTCGAAATAGTATAAGTTTTTCCCAGAACAAGTTGATCCTCAAAAGCAGTAATATTGGAATCATATAAGTTTGCCTGAATAGTATTACCTGAAAAATCATGATGAACCATATAAATAACTGTAATATACATGATTTTAGATTAAGAAAAAACACAAAACAAAAAACAAAAAGAAACGAAGAAAAAATGTACGAAGAAGAGTTACCTGAGTATCCATTAACATCAAATGTTGGTACCTTTCATTGCCTTGTCTCGAAGGCTTTGGTAATTGTTTTTCAACTACAATCACTTTAGCTTTTCATTTTTAATTGTTGGAAATAATTTCTGGTAGAAGTTGGTATTGTTCTTCCATGGTAGCAATTTCGTGACAATTTCGTAACAAAATAATAGAGGTAAAATGCACACAAAAGGAAGATTTTTATGGCAAACGATTTTGAGATATCCAATTGAGAAATAAAAGAAGATATATATAGACATGTAAAATTATATCATATTTGGTTTCTCGTACTTCATCTTCTATTCTTAATTTTATTTTTTTATAAAAAGTAATACAAGTATGTACTAAGTAATATCTTATTATTAGCCATATACTGTCATAAGTTTTGTCTGCATGAGATATGGAGATTACTTGTAATATTCATTTATTGATAGTACACAAATAAAACGTGAGTTCAAAGATTTATACTTAGAGCATACGTAAAACTATAATTTATTGGTACTCCCTATTATAAATATAATAAAAGGACGTCAAAATTTGGATTAAAAAAGGAAAAAGATCAAGATTTACACGGTAAAATCTTATCATACCCATACTCTATTGATTTATTTGGATTAAAAAAGGAAAAAAATAAAGATTTACACGGTAAAATCTTATGATACCCATACTCTATTGATTTATAATGACTGAACATAGACATGAGCTGGCAAAGGTTTAAACATGGTATAAGAATGACTCTGAATTAAATTAAGTTGTATTCACCGGGGAAAAAGTATTCATACTACAAACCTTCTTTGTAATGGAAGAAAATTTTGATTCAGTTATTTATTTAGCTTAAATAAATTGAATTGTAATAAATATCTAATTACACGTGAATATGTTGATGTATGATTTTGTGTATGAAATTAAACAATTCAAATAAAGACGTATATTTGAGATTTTATAAAAGGTATGAATAGTTTGTATTTCATAACACAACAAAAATATTTCATTGATTGTTGACCAAATGCATAAAACAACAATAACATACAGCTCATATGTGACAGCCTTTTATCTTATGGTTGGTCTATGCTTATTTATTATACTTTTAGTCCCAAAAATCTCTACATTTTCAAGAGAGAAACTCCCAGCAGATTTAAACTGGAGAAACTCTGAAATTGGCCGGAAAAGATAACAATTTTACTTAAAAATTTACAATCGAAGAAACTTGTATATATCTGCACAGATCTGCGTATGGTGCCCATAAGAACTCCGTGATTATGGTGACCCATGCTTTAATGGGTCTCCATTATTACGGAGGCCATAACAAGGCCTCCGTATGATGGAGGCCAGTGTTGGCCTCCGTATTTACAAAGGCAAACGTTGGCCTCCGTAAATCTGGAGGCTTGGTTTCTTGTGTAGGCAACAGATTTTTAGTATGGATATAGATGCTAAAAATGCTGAAAAACAATATGAAAGTGACAGAAAAATCCGAAGTATACCAAATGTAGTGAGGATTCATATAGAAGATTTGATGGTTCTATCATGTTTACTTGAGTCAATTGTTTGAACCCAAAGAGTAGAAATTTTCATTGTTAACAAAAGATGTTCACATTAATTTCTTAGACACCATGTACATAATATCATAAATGTTTGAATTTTTGTCATTTTCATATTTTTTTCAGCATTTTTAGCACCTATATCCATACTGAAAATCTTTGCCTCCATAATCACGGAGGTTTTAGATTCATTCATAAATGTTTATCTATTTTTAATTTTTAGATTCATTTATAAATAAGATGTGATTTTTGGAATAATTTATACAGATGTCTCTAGAATACATAATTTCTCCGGATCAATGGTTTTCTGCTATAATTGTCCAGTATCCAAATTTCGAATATCTTAAAGACTTTGTAAAATTTTTAGATTCGAATGAGCAATTTTTGTTGATGTGTATTAATTTTTATGGATTTCTTTATGGAGCTTTCTACAAAGGAAAAATGTACAATTTAGTAGTAGGTTGGTGCATGAATTTATATTGAGGCTTGTAAATTGTGGGAAAATTGATGAAATTTGGGTAAGGTTAGACGATCGTGTAGCCAGATTTAGTATGCAAGAATTTTGTCTTATTACTGGATTACCTTGCCATGAACCATCCATGGACATTAATGATACAAATGATCGTCTTAGAAATCAATACTTTAATAGTACATATCGAATCAGTATGAAGATGCTTCATGAAACATTCCATGCGTGTGAACATGAAAAAGATAAATTGAAGCTTGGTTTAGTCATGTTGATCGAATGTGTGTTGACACCCACTTCAAGACAAATTGATTATAGAACTCTTGGTATAGTTGAGCATCTGGATGAGTTCATTGCATATCCATGGGGTCGCAAAACATATTTGATCGTGTTATATTCATTGAAAGCATCACAATCTGAAAGAATACAAAGGTTGCAACGGAATGAACAAATAGAATGCAAGTACGCGTTACATGGGTATCCACTTGCATTCCAGGTAATTAGTCACTATTCTTGTATTGATTTATTATGTACAATATATTCCCATAAAAATTTTTTAAACATATAATGTTTATTTTTTATTATTTTGCAGTATTTGATATATGAAGCATTTCCAAAGATTGGAAAGAAATTTGGACATCGTAGACATAAAAAACCATAGTGCCCAAGAATATACAAGTGGAAACCCAACCAATTTGTAACTGAAAAAGAGATAAAGCTTTTTTTGTCTACTCGTCAGGTATGTTTTTATGAATGTACAATTACTCTTATATTCAATTATCTTAAAATAAAATTAAATTCAAAATAAACGATTTTGATATTTCAATTTGATTACAGATTCAAGTGATTGTTGTGCTACAGCCTAATGAAGAAGAATTACAAAGTTTTTGGTACGAAACTCTTTCATTGCCAGTGAATAATAGACACAGCAGATTAGATGGGATTGTAAATGGAGTATTAGATAATGCAGTAGAACAAATCCCAGACAATATACATGTGCAAGAAACGATGAATCCCGGTACTTCTACATCTTCACCTGTATTTGGGTCAGCTCTGTTCCCAGTAGCTCCAACTTTTTAAGTGAAGATAAAATGGAATAATTGTTGGGTATCTACAGGCAATACACAGCATCAGACGTGTCTGATGTATATAGCAACTTGAACGCAGAATTTGCTGATGAATCAAGAGCTCACCACCATACGGTTCTTGAAAACCAAAAACAGTTATTTGAGGAGCAAACAAAATGGCAAGAAGATTACATGCAACATCATTATCAAATAATTCTTGACAACCAAAGGCAATTTTTTGAACAGCACCAGAAGTGGCAGGAAGAGAGATATCAGGGTATACAATCTTATATTGATACCAGTTTAAGTTCAATGAGATCCTATGTCGACGAACAAAATCAGGAAACACTGAACACGTTATCTGAATGGAAATCAAACATGGAAGCCATCATAGGTTCCATGCAACAAGATGTCCCTCTCGATATAAGTGTTGTTTCTTGCGATAAACCAAATGAGATATCAACAGCTGAACAAATTGAGAACTCTAAACGGTCGATAAAAGAGAAGAAAAACAAGGGGAAACAAATACAGTTTTCATCATCTTCAGATCGTCCTCTAGAAGACTATCCTATGCAAAGATACACAAAAATTAGAAATTTTATAGCGGAGAATCAATCTGGGTAATAAATCTAATTTTACTTGTATTAGCTCAAATCTTCAAGTTCTGTTTTGATTTATTTGGAATTAATTAAAATTATGTCATATAGTGCATACTTGGACGATGGCAATAACAATGTCTTTGGAAGAGACATGTTGAAAACTCTAATGGCTCAAACACAGGACATAAATATTGCTGTAAGTAAAGTCTATAAATTACAATAGATTTTATTTCATAGTCGATATATATAATCTAATTTATATCTATTTATTTAATCAAAACATTGAGTTAGAGTTAAAATTATTGAGGCGGCTCATGAATGATGGTTGTCCGCTTGTTTAAAAAGAATATGCAATTATGGATTTCAAATTTGAAGCAGAATGTGCTTGTCAAATGATATGGCATACTGACACAGGAATGGGAACCACAAGGGGTGAAGCAGATGGAACTCTTATGGAAAGTTATATGAATGGCACAACACCTATATTTGGTCATCCTTGGAGGACATGCAAGTATATATTAATTCCGTACTCATATCCGGGCAATAGCTGGTACCTTTTCGTTGTCAATATTCTTGAATGGAAATTCCAAATATATGATTGCAGCAATAACGTCCACACACCGGATCAAGTAAAAGCACATGCAAAAACTTCATTGACTGTGGTAGAAGCACTATTGAAAACAACTTTATCTTCTAGAGGAGATATAATGAAACATAGGAATAAACAAATGAAAGAGGAGATTATACCTTTCCTAAACTGTGCAAACAATGGGTAAGTATTTAAGTGGCTTGTTTTTTAGCAGAATATTTAATTTCCTAAACTTAGTCATTTATTCTAACACTAAACTATTTCTTCCACAGGCCTAATTGTGGACTTTTCGTGCTCAAATATATAGGATGCTTTGTTTTGGGATATCCAATTGAATCAATTTCGTCAGATAGGATGAGTATATATAGACGAAAGATTGCGGTAGATATCTATAATAATGAATACTTTCTTCATCCCCGCAAGTCCTAATTGTAGTAGATAATCAGAATCTACTGATTGAAATATTATGTAATAAACTTGTGTTTTTTATCCTTTCTTCTCGTATCTTATCAGTGACCTAAATAAATAAAGATATGTTGAACATGGAATATTATGAAGGACATGTTTAAAGATAATGACCTGACCCTTTTATATGCACCATGTTTCGTACTAACAAGTAAAGTATAATTGAAACGCATAATAACATGTAAAAATAACTAACTTTGTATAGCTCAATGTTATTCTCCTTGACATAAGATGGATTAACAGAGAAAATATCCTCTTTTAGGCTAACAATAGATTGGCAGTCCAATTAAGCAAAATTCGTAATTATAGACTTCTTAAGTAGTATGTCTCAAATTCAAAATTTCAAGATAGACTACATTTTTTGTGCAACAATTGTGTGATTTTATTTCATCCACTGGCTTTATTAGAACTTTTATGTTTTCTCTTGTTCTTGCTCTAAATAAAGCGACATATAATTGACTATGCGAGAAAACAGGTTCAGGCAAATATAGTCCAACAAAATCTAAAGTTTGATCTTGAACTTTGTTAATTGTCATTGCAAAACAAGGACGAATGGGAAATTGAGCTCTCTTAAATGGTACTGAGTACTTAGCTCCTTCAAGTGGAATAAATGAAATTCTAGGTAAAAATACTTGTTTTTCACGATATTCATCTATTCTAATTTCGGCTAAAATAACACTTCGTTTAAATTCTCGACAAATAAGTCTAGTCCCATTACACAAACCTTCTGAATGATTAATATTTCTAAGCAACATAACATGACAGTTTCTTTTTAGTACAAGTTCATGTGGAGGGATACCATTTGGAGTTAGACTATTCAAAAAGTCCTCATGAATAAATCCTTCTGCTTTATCAATTACTTCATCAAAACTAAAATATGTAAATATCTCTCCTGAAATTTCTTTTACTAACATATTATTTATTACATCCACATGTTCATTTTTTGGAGTCAAAATAACTCTGTTCATCATAGTATTCAAATTGTCACCATATGTGTGAAAATTAGGAAACACAATAGCAATTAGTTTTTTCAATGATTCAAATTCACTCTCAAAATCTATTATTATATCTGCAGGAAGCTTAATCATGTGACATGTATGTTCTCTTTCTATTCCATTTCCAATTCTAAGTAAATATTCACAGAACAAAGGATCTAATTTAGTTCTCATATTCTCAGTCAATGGTAGTTGTATAAAATATTGCCATAAATCTGAAAAAACTAAACTGGCCTTCATGATATCATCTTTTGTTCTTCTTTGTACTACTGGCAACACTTGTCGAAAATCTCCTCCGAACACAACAACCTTTCCACCAAATGGCAATTCACATTCAGTAATATCTTTTAACATTTTATCCAAAGTTTCAAAAGCACATCTATTAATCATCGGTGCTTCATCCCACACAATTAGCTTTGTCATTTGTAAAAGTTGACAAAGTGATGATTGTTTACTTACTGAACACCGCATATCAGAACTTGCTTGAAGTGGGATTTTAAAACGTGAATGACCAGTTCTCCCACCCGGCAATAAAGAAGCAGCCACTCCCGATGACGATGTTGCTAATGCAATAAGTTGTCGAGATCGTATTGCAGCAAGTAATGACTTGTACAGAAAATTTTTTCCAGTACCTCCTGGACCATCAATAAAAAAAACTCCATTTTTATTATTTACAACACAGTCTAAAATAACATCATAGACAGATTGTTGTTCCTTATTTAAATTCTCTGTAAAAATGCATGTCACACTGAATATTAATATTTGTAGTCTCTTCTAAAATCATGTTTGCTAACACATCAGCATCATTCACAATTACATCAAAATCTACCAGACCAAAATCATTTATGTTTGTACCAAAAACTTCCAAGAATGAATTTATGCATCTCAAAGCCCTAATCTCGGCATCACATACTGTCATGCTTTCATGTAAAAAATCTTATATCATGTACACTTTAAATTTAACCCATAAATTCCTAGGATTTGCAGGGCTGCAAAAAATCAACACATTAGCAAAGAGGCGACGCAATGATATAGGCATTTCATAGGTGATCGCCTCATTTAAACACATTTCACAATAATTATTCCCACCTATGAGACCATGTAAAAATGCAGCTTCGCGATAAGTAGGCAAAACAATGTTATTAACTGTTCTTAAATCTTGAAAAGACTTAGACCCTTTAACATGATTCAATAAAACTCTTAGAAAGTATCTCTCGCCCTCAAATGGATTAGCAGCAACTATTCTACCAATAACATTTTGCTTCTTTCTAGGACTCCAAACTCGAAAATATGTATTCCATACAAAGTATGTAGGAAAATCCTTATAAAGTAAAGTTCGTGCCTTTTCATTTGAAATATTCATTCTAAAACATTCAGTTAACATTGTTCGTTGAATGGAGTCTTTATTTATAACTTCTGATAGATCATCTGTTTCATTATATGTAACCAACTGAGCATCTTCAATATGTAACTGCAAAGAAACTACAGAAGGAGATATGTCGAATAAATCAAAACTAAAAATTCTCCATATAGCTTCCGGTGCAGATATCCATCTAGCGGTTTGATAATTCGAAATCTCATCAACATAATGCTCATTAGTTCCTTTATTTACCGTAAAATTAACACGATCATGTCCTTTGTATACATATTTGTATAAATATTTGACTGCTTTAACAGAAGAACATATTTCAACATTAGTGTGACAATCATACTTAGCTAAAATATAAGGATTATATGGTACAACTCATCTATTGTCTAGTACAGACCCTCTGACCTTAACGGTAACACCATCGTCACGACGCCTATAAAGTGGATATGAATCATTACCTAATGAAGAATGCAAAATGTATTCTCTTGAATACTTGTTTTTACAAGTACAGTTATTTTTCATGCACACATTTGTAGGATTTAATTGTCTACAAGGACCATGCATCATATGTTTGACCACAGTAGCATACAGGTGAGGATTTCTCTTTGGATCTGGTATTTCATAAGAAACAATTTCATCAACTTACGTAGAATTATTAATCTTAAAATTCGTTTTAAATATCAGGAGAAAATGAACATGAGGTAGACCTCTTTTTTGGAATTCAATTACATACACATAGGCAGCTATAGGCCCTAGAATTTCTCTCTTTATTAAATCTATTTTTAGTTCTTCAAGTTTTGCTCGAAATATTTGGGCTAACAAATCTGGCCTATTTTGTACACTATCATTGTGCCTCAATTCTTGTTTAATTTCAGGCCAATTTGGATTGCATGTCATTGTTAAAAATATATCAGGTTTTCCATATCTTTGAACTAAACACATTGCATCCATATATCTTTTAGTTAAATTTCTAGGACCCCCAATAAACCCTGTAGGCAACACAATTGATTTGCCAATTTTATAGCCTCTATTCTCACCATTTTGTGTACTATCTAAAATTCTTTGGTAAAGTTCACCTCGTATAGTCTTTTGATTATTACGAAAATAATCTAATCTCGTAGTTTCAATCTTAACACACATATCCACTATATATTGTTGTAGAAGTCTGCCTGTATGAAGGAGTACAGACTTATCTGAAAGTCTGATTTGAAGTTTATAGCAATAATATTCATGGCATGACACAGTAATTCGTTTCTTACCTCTCTTCATAGCTGAAAGGGAAAAAAAATTAAAGTCACAAAGACAGATCTAGAAATGACAATACATTTATGCACTCTAAAAATATTAAAAAATTTCAATAGTAATAAAACTTACCACGATCTTCCATCTCTATAAGTTGTTCGGTCGAATCAATTTAATTGATTTGTATGAAATCTTCATGGACTATTAAAGTATTCAAATTTATCTTTTCGATACCTTCATGCCATCCAGGTTCTCCATAGGTAAATATTAATGGATATTGAAGTAGATCATAACGGCCATAATAGTAATTTACTCTGTGTAGTATTGGAACGTCCATAAATTAATATATCACGAGTCTTTATGCTTGCAGATGGATCATCATCAACCCACACTGCAGCCACCTATTCACATGATGGCATGTTATATACTCTCTGGTCGAGACCCGGATCAGACCTCAGTATGATACAGCACGAATCAAAATCAGAAACTTTACTTAATGATCGAAAAAAACGACGATATGGATTTATCTTTAAGATATCTATTAACTTTTTCAAAGTTGATTCACTTAACCCATCTGAAATTTGTAGTCTATTACTAATTTCATTATAAGTATCGTATAAGTATAACTGCAAATATGTAGGATTTCCATCAGTTGGTAGAAGTGGATTTATAAAATGGTATACCTGTCCCTGAACTTTGAACGTAATACACCTCTATTATTTTTGCACAAATTTTTATCATATTTAACACCAAATGAAGTGAATGCAAAATAGTTGTTGTAAGTATGAGCAACTTTTTAAAAAGCAATCGCTTCACATGAATTAGAAGTAAATAGCTCATATAATTCAGGGAGAACACTGTTCAGCTGTAATTTAACCTTTCCATCACAACAACAAAAACCCTTACTTTCTTTGTAAAATTTTTTTGCACCACAATGTTTACAAATTGTACAAGACGGAAGAATATAAGGTTCGACTGGAATATTTCCTATATCAATTCTCCTAGAACGATCTAAAATGATAGGATCATATGAACCACATTGAGATTGCATATTGTCATCTTCAAATTGCTTTTCCACGCCAATGTTTTCATCAACTTGAAGATCTTTCTATAAGTCGACATGATCAATAGAATCTACAATCATAAAATTAGTATACGATCCCTGAAAGACAACAAAAGTGCAAAAATTGGATTAAAAAATAATTTCAAAAAAAAAAAAGATGAAAGAAAAGTGTACTACAACATGACCAAATAAATAGCCGGATGCAAAAAAAAAAAATTATAAAAAAATATATTCAATCTACGAAACCTGCTGTGAATTTAGGACAACATCTCCTCCTTCTTCCTGTCATATGTCTAGAACTTGTAGATATTTCTATAATACCAAATATTTATGTTAAAATTACGTAAAAAATATTAAACCAACAAGAAATCACATTTAAACAATAAATCGTATCTATATGTCTCCTACGCAATTTGTCTTTTTGTACCCTTGGCTGAATTACAAGTTCAGAATCTTGTGCCTGTGTGGATAGGTCCAGCCTTCTTAAACGAGCACGTCTATTCTTAAACCAATTATAAACATTCATATCAGAGATTGCCCATGCAACGATAGTTCGAAAACTGTCTGCATGATCCTTGACTTGTTTGGGGTTTTATTCTCTTGATTAAATATAGATTCAAGAACTTGAAGCTATACAGATGTAGGTGTCCAATATTGCTTACTCATTATATTGTTGAAAGAAAGAAACCACAAAAATCAACTCAATAAAATTGGAAACATAACTAAGAGTATGCACATTGAAAAAAATATCCTCATATAAAAGAAGCCAAAAAAATGCATACATTTTCATGACCCGAACAATAGGAAATATATCGAAAAAAAACCCACCACCAACAACAAGTCTATCGTTGAATTAAATATTGTTGAACAAAATATACACGCAATTGAAGACATGGAGAAAACAAAAGGATGGGAGGGATGGGAAAGGTACGATGAAAATAAGGACAAAGGCAAGGTGCTTGCACGAACGAAACGAAAACAACGACATTTTCGTTCAAAATGTAAAATGAAAATGACATAGACAGGAAAATGAATAAATTATACTCACTTAAGTATTATAGTTGGAAGAAAAAAAAACTAAATATATTTATTCATTTTTCTATTTCTATATTATATATTATAAATTTTTGTCATCACATAAATAGAAATTTTAAAATTTTAAAAATAATGTTAAGAAAGTCTGGCTATTAGTTAAATTCCATACAAAATAAGAAACTGATGTTTAAACTAAAATATAACTCCATATAAAATAATAAAATTACGTTCGACAAAACAAAAAAATAATATTGAAGTATTTGTTGTAATAACAGTTAAGAGAAAAAGAAGGGAGGGAGGGAGGGGGGGAAATAATGCCTCTATAATCACGGAGGCTCAAAAGGCAAAGCCTCCGTAATTACGGAGTCATCAAAGTGCCTCCATAATTACGAAGGCTCAAAGTTGAGCCTCCGTATCACTACATACGGAGGCACATTGAGCCTTCGTAATTTACGGAGGCTCAACTGTCTAGGCACCAAACCGCCTTCATAATTAACAAATTTCATTTTTCTCCCTTTCTTTTTTCTTTACTAACTTTCAGCATCAAAATTTAATTTCATTTAATCAACTTAGTTTTTTTAATAGATGTGATTCCTAAAATAAATACATAAAATATAATTCATTTTTTTATATATACAAATATTATATAAATTCAATGAGTAAAAATGTAGATAAATAATAGACATATTACATATTAATTATATTTCCAATCGTAACCTTTTGATTGCAATCAAATAATGTGTGAAACGTATTAAGATAAAATAGTCACTCACGTGATATTTCAATAATTTCTTTCTCCTCACTTTTATTTTTGGGAAGAGTAAGATCAGGCTTTTTTGGTAACATATTGTCCATTTCTACAATCCGTGAACCTTTTGTCAAATCTGGAGAAAAGGAAATAACATAAGAAGTACATATCCTCTAATTTAAATAGCTTCTCATGTTTTCAAAATTTACCTTAAATCACTCCTCACATAAAATATTTACATATCTTTGCTTGCAGGTACTCAACAAAAAGAAAATCAGGTGTTTATCTACTCTTTCCTGATTACCATAACTATTTTTTCAACACTAAATTTTATAGTTTTAACTTACATCTTGTTTATTGAGATGGACTAAATGTCAATCTTCAATTTTTTTATTAAAAATCGAACACAAATCATGAATTTTTTACCAAACTTCACGATATTGTTCTACAACGGCATATGGAATATATTTTTTTTTTTTGGATCACATACAAAGTTTATCTTATAGACATAGAACTTCCATTAACAAACTTTCTAATTCGCCTATACTGTAAAATCTACCTTAAAAATCTATATTAGGGCCTCCACAACGTAAATAATAGAGTTATTCTAACAAAATTTTCATTGTACTATATTGAGACAGAATGGAGGTGCCACGTCGTTTCTTCAGAATCATTACTCCTCCACAAAACCATAATACCCGTTTGGTTAGTCACACAAGAGTTTCTCATCTCACATTTGAATGGATGCATTCTTAATATCTCTCTCATACTTTTTAATATATATGTATAGATGCTTCCCAGATCCTTTGTCAACGATTGGAGACACCAACTTGGTGACACAGTACGCGTAACTGCATATGATGGTATAATTGTCACAATACGATTGGAAAGAGATAATGGAAGAATATTTTTTGCCTATGGAAGGGAACAATTTTTTGACCATCATAACTTACAGGATGCTCATGTTTTGGTATTTGAATATAACGGAAGATCCACATTCAATATGATCATATTTGACCATTCTGGATTAGAGGTCACATATGACTCCGATGCTCCCGAAGAATACAACGCTTCACATACATATAACCCTGCATTTGAAATAACACTAACACCTCATCACAACAGCCATCGGGAAATTGTAAGTGTCATTTTTAATATCTCATTCTACATTCATCTCTTCCCATAAATTTGATTCAAAGATCAATAATTTATTCATTCATGATTTTTCAAGATATATTAGGACAGTTCTCTAGATATCACCTACCAAGAGGTCTGCGAAGTGTTCAAATCCATGATTCTTTACATCACGACTGGGAGCTCGCCACAAACTTGCGACCAAATGATCTAGTAAGATGTATGACTATAGGCTGGGCAGATTTTTTTTAGAGAAAAAGAACTACAAATGGGCGATACATGTGTCTTCAAACTTTTGAACAGTGAACCCCCAACGTTCATCGTCTACAAAAAAGACCATGTTGGTGGAAGTTTGACACGTCTATGAGACCTCTTTACTTTCTTCTAATAATTTTCATGTATTTCTATTCTGTTATTTCCACGTCCAATTCTATTTACTCTCTTATTTACCAGTTTACTCCAGAGTTTGTGTACAACAAATCAACATCGAAGTTCAACACTATACGAGGAAAATGAAAAATCAAATCATATGAAAGTAGATTTCCCCCTCATTAATCATCGCAGGAAAAACCTTTAGATATTACTGCTACCACAAACTAAAGAGAAGTTGAAAACATTCTCCACCACTACCTGCAAACTAAAATAAAGCCAAAAGAACATGTTTCAACGATCGAACAAGCAAAGAGAACAAATACAATATAAGCACAATGATTGAAGCACAAAATACAGATATCCCAAATATAATTGAAATAGAAATATCATAAATACATGAAAAAAAGAAAGGAAACTATGAAACTCAAAAAGAAAAAGGAGTAGCATGTGAAAATGAAGAAGAAGAAAGAAAAATCTATATAAAGTGAGTAGCTTACACACACACACACACACACACATATATATATTTTCTTGTCTGGACGGCCTCGTCTTGGCTCCAGACATGTAAAAAATTAAAAATAAAAAAATTGACAGACGGCGTCGTTTTTACTCCAGGGAAAAAAAAAGTTGCTACAGTGTGTAGAAATGGAAGAATTTACCGTTCTTTCTACAATAGCAACACATTGTCCTTTTTATATTGTAGGAACACGTAAGTTTCAATATATTTCGAAGATAAATATTTGAAGTGGCACCTAGATCCGCCGTGACATGTCTACGTTCAACTTTGAAGTAGAGTTCAGGTAGGGCCAAGGAATAAATACACCCGTGACATGTCTACGTTCAACTTTGAAATAGAGTTCAGGTAGGGCCAAGGAATAAATACACCACATATCACATATGTCAATATCTAATCTATTAACATCGCTATCAAACACACTGATTTTTATTTCCAATCCATTTAAATTTATAAATACACCACATATCACATATGTCAATATCTAATCTATTAACATCGCTATCAAACACATTGATTTTTATTTCCAATCCATTTAAATTTACAGTAATTATTTAATTATAATATTATTTAGGAGAGGGAAGAAATTTTCTTGATCAGATACTATTTCTTGAGTAGATTTGTGCAGGTTTTCAATTATTTTTACTAATTTGTTATTTATCCATACTCGCTAATTTCAAATTTATTAAAAATAAGGATTAATTGTTGCTTGTTATTAGCTTGTCTGGTTATAGGAAATTAGTGCTTGACGGAACAAAGGAGTTTTTGTTTCCAATAAATTTGATAAGCTACGTGGATTGTTTAATTTATTATTGAAAATAATTAAACATTGACAACCAAACCATGTTGATTTTGGTACATCCCTTCTTTTATTTATTTATTTTTTTCCGTGTTCTAGCAATATCATTTAGGCCTTGTTAGGTAGAAATTTTGAGAATTGATTTTTTTATTGTTAGGAGAAAAGTGGGGGTTGCCTGTGAGAGAATAAATCAAAAATTACAACAGAAATAGTAAAATAACGATCAAAAAATTAATTTTTTTGAGTGAAAAATCACTCTCAAACACCCCTTTAATTTGTACGAAAAATATTATTAGTTGGAGCACTTAAGAATTTCTAGATATTATAGGCGGCTTTGAGAGAGCTTGCAATGTGAACACTACAAATTAAGTCAATCAACATGTACCAGCATTGTCTTGTTAGGAAAAGTTTTGAACATAAAGGCAGACCAAAAGTCTGACTTCCCTGGGATGGGATGTCCCTCCAATATTTAATTTCCTCGTCAGTTTATGAAGAATGAATTAGTCGTGTACACACTAATTTTTCACAAAAGAATTCCAAAAAACTCATAGGATGGATGGGTATGTTTTGTAATTTTTTACTCACATAGAACCCATCCATGAAAGTGTTTCGTAGGGCTATGCTAAAGAAGAAGAAGAATAGGGCTATGCTATCTATACAATTTTAGTGTATATAATCGTTTACACCCCCTCACATGGAAAGGGGCTCGAATATAATTTATTATGTGTGGACCTCCTCCATGTAAGGAGTGTAAAGGATTATGTACAACAAAATTGTACAAATAGACTAATTCTTGTAAGGATCATACTGTGTGCACACGACTTTACATTCCCTCACATGGAGGGGAGCCCACACATAATAAAATATTCGTGGACCCCCTCCATATGAGGGGGATGTAAAGCTGTGTGTACACCGACATTTTCTTTCTTGTAAATATCTGCACATTTTGCATTGGAAATCATTGTCAAAGAATCAATAATTGATTAATGATAGCCTACCATTCAAATTTTATAGAGTATGGGACAACCTTGCAAAGTCATTAATTTAAGGTATTGATAGCAAAATTTCCATTGAACCTATAAAGTAAATGCTTACTGCAAAGAACTTTGCTACATGTACACTTTGTCACGTGTCATTATTCTATTTGACAGTTTAAATTTCAAACAGTTTTTTCATCCAATTGACACTTGACAACAACGCATATGTCAACTAAAGTGTCAAAAATCAATGTATAAATAACAATGTTCTACTGCAAAAGTATTGTTTTAGAATAAAGCTGGTTGTATAGGGCCACATACCAGCAGAGTCTGAATTATTCTCTTTTTTCTTAGGTGGTGGATGGGTGGATAGTAGTTGTGCACTGGTAGCTTTATATCAATGTCCAGTGTATTGTTCCATTGTTTGGGTGAAGTTAAAAGAGCTGGTGGCTGGCACCATGCTTTTGATCTATATTCAGTCAATAAGAATGGGCCATAATGTTAGTAATTTAGACTATCGGGCGAACATGCTTAAGAAGGAAAATTAAAAAATTGTCTTGAACCTTATAAGTTACATATGATTATATTTCTATGTACTTGGCTCGCAGGCTCAGTATTAAATTAAAGATGGGCGATTGAACAATCCTCAAACATTATGTTTATCATTTTGCAAGCAAGGAAGCAAAAATAGTTAAGATGTCCTAACTTAAGTGTGTGTGCCACATTATTTTGAAAGAATGTATGTTGAAATGGTAAAATGATGGAGAATTAATATTAATTTATTGAATAATGCGTGGTTCAAATAATGTCAAATCACTGTTTAAAAATGTATTTTCTCCAAAAAAATTGCAGCTCAAACGGGGACTAAGTGCCTTTTGACTGAAAATATAGGGCCTATTTGGTAGGATTTTTTGAAAAGTCAAAAGCAACTCTGATATATTTGGATAATTTTCTAAATGTGCTTTGTTTGACTATAAGAGCTTTTAGAGAAAGTTGATCTGAATCAGCTTTGTCATAAAGCTCTTCTAAAAGAACTTAAAGGAAAAGCAGCCCCTACCAATCATGTCCATAAAATAAACGTATATTTCTTGTAATTGTAGGAATAAAAGCCCAAAGTCGTGTATAATGTCTCATCTTCTCGCTCTATATATACCAGTGTATTTTTCAGCCTAATGACTCTTAAGCCAAGAGGAGATGATAACAGTTGCCAAGATGTCAAGAGCTTTTTTTAGTTTTATGTTCACCTTGACTCTATTACTTTTCTTCGAAGCAACAACTGTTTTAGCACAGAGTGGATCTCTTCCTGAGGAGGAGAGTAAGTCTCACTTCTTTCTTATAAACCTTTTTTCCTATCCCCCTTCGCGTGTAGTTAGGATTTCTATGATTTTCGAACAATTTTTGCCCTTCCATTCAACTTCTGCTTGCTTATCTCTAAAAATTCGCTTTGTTCACCATGCATCGAATCACATTTCAATAGTAATTGAGTTCCAATTTTTCCAGAAAATGCTCTTCAAGAAATAGCTGATCAGGTGGGAAAAAAGGATTGGAACTTCAGCCTGAATCCTTGTGACGGGAACTCAAACTGGTCGACACCAAAAAGAAATGATATGCCATGGTACAACAATTCTGTCATCTGCAATTGTTCTTTCCTTGGCGGCGTATGCCACGTAGATATTCTGCTGCTACATTGATCTTGAAGCAGGAAAATATATGGTGGTTGATTATCTGTTTACCAATCTGCAAAAATAATACTTTCATGGGAATATATTATATTTCTTTCATGTTTAACCCCACATGAACTTACGGTGCCTAATAATCAAACTTGACCTTTCTGCTCTGTTTTATATTGCTTGAGTCTATCATCATAAATTACAATCAGGATCTGCTCTTAACATGTGTATCTGAATTTCTTCAATAATCAGTGCTAGTGATATATTCATAAAAAAAAAAAAAAAAGAAGAAGTTCCAGAATGCAACTTTATTTCACCATGTCAATGTTACAAGTTACTTTTTCGATCTTTAAGTTTGAGTCAAAAGTGAAATTGCATAAAATTTGTAGTGTACTCTAGACGAAGCACCATAAGAAGTTGCTTAACTTCAAACACTAGGTGACATGAAATACATCGCTTTACCTGGGAAAATCCTTCTGTTTGATTTATTGCTTGGTTTCTTAGACCTTTCAAGAAACTTTTCTTCGTGTGTTGATATACTTGTATATTAAATTTGATATCAAATTTCATCATTTCAATTTAGAGTACTCTAATGAGAGACTCTTTTTCTCTGCAAACAGATTTCTTAGAGGACAGGATTTAGCAGGTGTCCTTCCACCCTCCCTATCGAAGTTACCCTACATCAAGACAATGTAGCAAGAATTTCCAAGTTTATGTTCAATTTATTATAATCTACTCAACTTTTTGCTTCAAAATGATGAGCCAATTTATTGGCTTCATCGATCTCACTCTTAATCTATTGGCTGCAGTGATCTTTCTCGCAACTACCTCAGTGGTACAATACCCAAGGAATGGGAATCTACCAATTTGGAATACGTGTGAGCTTTCCCTGTAGCTTCGTCATTGAGATTTTGATGTAATGTCTAAATTCTTAGTTATATTGACAAAGTATATGTGATTTTTAGGTCTCTTATCGTGAATCGCTTATCTGGACCCATACCAAAATACTTGGGAAACATTACTACCCTTGTATATTTGTGAGTTCCTGTCTAGCATTCAGATATTCTATTTCATTTTGACATAATTCTAATTATAATTTTGAAATCTATTGAACTTTCAGGAGCCTGGAGGGCAATCTGTTTAATGGGACCATTCCAACAGAGTTAGAGAAGCTGGTTAATTTAGAAAATATGTAAGACCTTTTTGATCATCCATATTTTAAAGAATTATTTGATCGAATTCGTTGAATTTATATTATGTTCTGTTTCACTTTTTTCGTCCTTGCAGCATTCTAAGTGATAATAATCTCACTGGTGAGTTGCCGATTGAATTAAATAATCTGAAAAAGTTGACAGAACTGTAAGTATGTTACCACACCTTTCTTGAATTATAAAGTAATTCAGCTATCGTGGGATAACAAGTGTTTTGGGGGCCAATGCAGTAGGCTAAGCAGTATTAACTTCACTGGAAAATTACCTAGTTTCAAGAGCTGGGCAAACCTTCAGAAGTTGTAAGTCCTTTTCCTGAGAAATATATTTCCAAAATGAAAAATTTGCAGTTTCGACTTTTGTTTATGTGACATTGCTTATCAACAGAGAGATACAAGGGAGTGGTTTTAAAGGCCCCATACCTCGCAGTATTTCCATCTTGAAAAATTTAACTGAACTGTGAGTTGAAACCTATAGAGTCACCTTTCAATTTCTCAATCTTTCAGTAACCATATTACGTTCATTTACTTAACATTATTATTGAAGATGAAAATTGATCTAATGTGATATCTTTGCAGAAGGATTAGTGACTTGAATGGAGGTGCTTCAGAGTTTCCACTGCTAGGAGAAATGAAAATGATGAATATCTTGTGAGTAAATATCATATTAAAAGCTGATAATTTCTATCATTGAACTGCATATTTAATAAATGTGTTGTGTTCTTGCAGGATGTTAAGGAGCTGTAACATATCTGGAAACATTCCTAGGTACCTTGCAGATATGGCATCATTGAAGATTCTGTAAGTACAGATTCTAGTACTCTTCTTCTTTTTACATAATGCAAGAGCTTGCCACTATTCTTTTTACAAGACGAATATCTGGAAACCTTGTAAGTTTGGTTTTTCTCCTGTGCTTCCACTGGTTTTCTGCCGATCTATTTCTTTCTTTCTGGATATCATACAAAATTAAGATTCACTTTGTTGCGTTACTATAAATATGCACTGCCATATAGTTCTTAAGTAGAGAAACTCTGTGCTTGATTTAAAGATATACTCTGTGGTGTATTCACAGAGATCTGAGCTTTAACAAGTTGAAAGGAGAGGTTCCAAATCTTGAAGGCCTATCAAAACTAGAGACCATGTGAGCAAATTAGTTTATTTAATTAATTTGTCTGACATTCACCTTTCATATACTGAAGCACGTGTCATTCAAATATACCCCTGTACATGTGTTCTTGCATGATATTCTGCGCATTATTCATGTTATGTTGCTTCAGAATCTTCATTTACTCTTAAAATGTATAATTTTGTGGCTGTGATTAGGTATCTGACTAGTAACTTCCTTACCGGGCCAATTCCAGAGTGGATCAAGAGCAAAAATCCTAAACAGTAAGTTCACTTCTATGTTTCTTATTAAAATATCAACTTATATCTGTGATTCATTAGCAGCATTATCCATCATCCATGACGGTGTCCAAAAATACTCATGTATGTAAGCAATTAACCCTAATACCAAGATTTTAGAATTTCATGATTTTCATGAGTAAATTTAATTGATCAAAAACATACCTTGATTCATGACAATTAATTGAAGATTTAGGTTTGCAAAAATAAGAGAAACAAGAAAATAAGAAACCGTTCTCTTTCTCTTTTCTTCTCTGTAATTGAATGTATTACTTGATGTGTTCCATTCACGTTTATACACACAGAGAGACAGTTTCATCGGCCATTAAAATAATTGTCCACCTTCCATCAAAGTGGATAATTATAAAAATGTTACTTCTCAATGAGCCAATAGGATTTTAGCAATAAATAAACCAATTTAATTAATTGTCTTATAATATTCCACAGGCCACAAAATTAATTGAGTTTACATTGTTGATCTTTTGATTTCTTGCAAGTGGACATGATCGTAAACAAGTAATAAAGTGATGTATAGAGTGTCGAGCCCACAAAGACTACGCATTTGATCGAGTTAAAGCTAACAATGCCCTTAATTGAATAGTAAAATCAAGTGGTAATTAAACACTATTAAATCTATCAACTAACTTAAAAGCAATGTGAAGAAGATATATCAAATTCGTAAGACGTATTGTTAAGATATAGAATTTCCATTGTTAATCCATTTTTAGTTCAACAATTTAAATGGACAATTTGAAATCATGCTGGTTGGTCAATGTTCCTATTTTATTTAAAGGCTTCCCTCGATAGCCTTTAGATCTAATCCTACAGTGATTTTTCTATATCTTTATGAAAAATAAGAACGTACAAGCAAGCATTAAACGAGTTAAAACATTTATAAAAATTATGTGAAGCATACATGTATATTTCTATTCTCTATCAAACCTCACAATATTTATTACTATGTGTCAATGATCTTATTATCTCTCTCGATGACAATAATACCCACGAACAATTCAATTAATAGCCAGTTAATTGAAAAGCAAATAAAACAATAATAAATATCCAAAAAAACTAAACAAATTAGTGTCAAATTAATTATTCAAACTAAAAACTTCTTAACAATGGTTCATCACATCCCAACAATATTAAAAAGTTTAGCCAAGCATATTGTCGAAATTAAACACGCAAAAGTTAAAAAATATCCCCAAACTTTGATGGAACGTAATTAAAGTTGAAAAATTGAATCTGCCTTTTTTCCTACTGTAGTCGCCAACTGCTTCCAATTTTTATGTCCAGCAGCTATATGTTAATGTTTTATCTCCAAATTCAGCAGCCAATTGCGTTCAAATTCTACCTTTTTCTGCGTGTATAATCTCCCTCAAGTTTTCTCCAAAAATTGCCGACTTGTCTTGCAAATTTTCAGCCCTTTTTTCCTTCAAAATCAGCCCTATTTTCCGCCTCAAAGTTGCTACAAGTTTCTATGTTTTCTTTCCCCAAAATAGCTGCCCATTGTGGGTCTGATTCCACCAAGTTGGCTACGTTTCTGGTGTGTATAAAATTCCAGCACGCAACTCGTTTTTATTTCCTCAATATGCTACAATTGTTGACTTGGAAATCCAACAAATCAGCCGCCGTATCCTGTTTCTAAAGTATATAAATTCCAGCAGGCATCTCGTTTTCTCTTCTTCAGTTGTCTGCTCCCTCTTTTCTTTCTTTTCTGCATATGAGATATAGCCATGTTTGATCCCCATTAAATTACATTCCATTACATTCTATTTTTCTCTTCTATTTTCAACCACATAATTTTTCATAAAATAATATTATACGTAAATCGAAAAATTTTCCTTATTTTTCAACCACTCATTTTTTCAACAAAACACTATTCCCGTTTGGGAATAGTGTTTTGCGGGAATAGTGTTTTCTTGAAAAAATGAGTGGTTGAAAAATAAGGAAAATTTTTCGATTTACGTGTAATATTATTTTATGATAAATTGTGTGGTTGAAAATAGGAGAGAGAAAAATAGAATGTAATGAAATTTAATTTAATGGGGATAAAACAGGGGCAAAATGGCTGCCTCTTTCTTCTCCAAAGACTGTCTTTGATTTCTTTCCCAAAAATCAGCTCCAAAGGCCGTCGTTTTTTTTGCCTTAAGCGTGTCTATAGGTCAGTTTTATAGCAATTCAGCCCAATATTTTACCCCCAAGAGAGATTCAATTGTCCTTCAATTTAAGGTCTGCCACGTCTCTTTTTTTTTCTCCAAGAGTCCAAATCACTTTTAACTAGACCAGCAGCAGTCCATTACAACTTAAAGTTGAGGCCCATTATGGTGGTATTTGTTTTCAAGTCCTCAATTTTTATCCAATGACCAATTTAATTCCCATGCTTTAGTTTTGCCATTTTTCGGCAAATTTTTGCTTCTTTCCTTCACTTCTTTTTTCATTTATAGAGTTTACCCATAAAACATAAAAGACAACACTTTAGGATATAATTTGTCAAAAGAACTATCAAATATTGTTATTTTAGGGTCCCCGAATAAGTATATAAAATACGCTTATCAATTGTCCCACTTGGCTCGTGTAATACTATATCATTACGTGGTTTATAACATAATGCACATAGCTCCTTCCAGATACTATAATATTAGTCCCCACCTAACATGACATTAATGAGAAGTTAGATAATTACATTTCAATAATATCTTTGAAAAGACTATTCCTGTCAGCATTTATATAATAAATTCATGTACATACCTCAACTATTATGGCATGAATAATATTTTGTCAAAAACAATATATAAAAGAGCTCAAAGTGTCAATTACATAAATTTCATAATGTCAATGATAATTTTCGATATTGCCCATCCTCTCGATATGTTCATTAAATGTCTTTGGCGGCAATCCTTTCATTAGTGGATCTGCAATCATAAGATTGGAGCTAATATACTCGATTGACACCTTTTGTATGTGAACTTCTTTAACGCAATGTACTTCGATTCCGTGTGTTTAGCACATTTGACGTACTTGTCGTTCTTTGAAATGAAAACTGCTGTAGAATTGTCACAATAAAGTTTTAGCGGCTCGACAATACTGTCGACAATCTCAAGCCTTGAAATAAAGTTTTGCAGTTAGCTCCCTTGAACTGTGGCCTCAAAGCATGCCACAAACTCAGCTTTCATAGTAAATGCTGCAATGATTGACTGCTTTGCACTTTTCCATGATATAGCTCCTCCAGCTAAGAGGAACAGATAGCCAAATGTAGACTTTCAAGTATCTACAAATCCAGCAAAGTCTAAATCTGAATATCCAATGACCTCAAAGCTATCAGATATTCTATAAGTGAGCATGTGGTCTTTTATTCCTTGCAAGTATCTCTATACTTTCTTTGAAACTTTCTAATGATCAAGTCCTGGGTTACTTTGATACATGCCCAGCATTCTGACAGTAAAACTGATGTCTGGCCTAGTATACGTTTGAGCATACATTAAGCTCCCAACAAGAGATGCATAAGGAATAGTTGTCATTTGTTTGTGTTCCAATTCGTTCTTTGAACATTGCATGAGACCAAATTTGTCTCATTTCTAAATTGGAACGACACTCGCTGAACAATCAAATCTCTCTAAAACTTTATTAATATATGCTTTCTGAGACAACCCTAACAATCTTTGCTACCTATCTCGGAATATTTTAATTTCAATTACATAGATTGCCTCTCCTATATCTTTCATTTCCAAATTTTTAGAGAGAAATTTATTAGTCTTGTATAACATACTAAGATCATTAGTAGTTAGCAAGATGTCATCAACATACAGAATCAAAAATATAAACTTGCTCTCACTGACCTTTAGATATATACAATGATCAACGACGTTTTCCTTAAATCCAAAGGAAGTAATGGTATCGTTGAACTTAAGATACCATTGACGGGAAGCTTGTTTAAGTCCGTATATTGATTTCTTTAACTTACACACATATGTTCCTTTCATTTAACTGAAGCCTTCATGTTGATTCATATAAACTTCTTCATCTAAATTTCCAATTAGAAAAGTAGTTTTCACATCCATTTGATATAACTATAAGTCATAATCAGCTACTAAAGCCATTATAATTGTGAGTGAGTCTTTCTTAAAGACTGATGAAAATGTCTCCTTATAATCAATGCCACATTTCTGAGTCCTTTGGCAACAAGTCTAGCTTTATATCATTCGATATTATCAATAGAGTCGAGCTCAATCTTAAAGACCCACTTACACCCAATTCTTTTACATGATTCAGGTAATTCAACAAGAACCAAGACTTCATTGTGCTCCATAGATTTCAACTCATCTTTCAAAACATCTAACCACTTATCAGAATTAGCACTCTCAATGGCCTGTGAAAATGAAACCGGATCATCATCAACAATTTCTAAAGCCAAATTTAGACTCTTGTAGGCAAACCACACAATCATCAGAAATAGTAGGTCTACGTTGTCTTTGTGAGCTTCTTAATGCTATTTCTTGTGGTTCATTTAGTGTAGGTTCATCAGCAACAACTTCATTGTGGGATGTTTGATCATTTATTTGTTGGTCTGGCAAATTGTCACACTATCAACAATTCGAGTAACAACAATAGGAGAAGAAGTTAAGGGTGGAGAAACATGAACTCCAACTTCTTGTATTTCCACATTTCGTGGCTCCAAAATCCCACTAACTTTACCATTTTCAATGAACCTAACATTTCCAATTTCAACAATTATAGAACTATGGTTAGTACAATAAAATCTTTACCCTTTCAATTTTTTTTTGGATAATCAATGAAAAATCCACTGATTGTTCTCGAGTCTAGTTCTTTTCATGCCTTACGTTTTAGGAAGTCCCTTTTTTAATGCCTAGGTTTGCGATCGAAATGACATGTATCTTTCTTGTGTTCCTTATTATAGATTTGGACAGAAGACTCATTTTATCTTTAGTGGTCCTTACTTAATGTCTTTTCTAGACCTTTTCTTA